TAGTGCAGGCTAGGAGCTGTATTTGTCATTTTTATTTTATGTTTATGAGTGTATTACTTGTATGTGTGCAAGTGCTTCTGTATCATACAATACCCACAGTGGTCAGAAGAGGGTATCCGATCCCCTGGAACAGGAGTTATGGATGGCTGTTACCCACTGTGTGGTTCTGGGAACCAAACCCAGGTCCTCTGCAAGAGCAGCCAGTGCTCTTAACCCACGGAGACATTTCTTCAGCCCTGAAAGCTACTGGTTTTTATGATTTTATATCTTGATGCTTCGCAGAAAGTATTTATCAATTCTTACATTTTCTAGTGTAATCTTTAGGGCCTCTTATGTGCAAGGATCCTATTATCTGCACAGAGGAAGATTTTTCCTATCTTCTTTCATATCATTGCTCTATCTAACACTTCAAGGACTACATTAAGAGTGGAGAAAATGGCAACTGTTAATCACATTTCTGATTTTAGTGGAAATACATTTTTATCCCTAGTTAATATGCTGTTGGCTGTAGGTTTGCTGTATATAACCTTGATCATGGTAAGGTATATTCTTTCTACTCCTGGTGTTCTTGGAGCCTTTATCATGAACAAATGTTGGGACTACGTGTTTTCTGTATCTATTGAGATAACTGTGTAGTTTGCATCCTTCAGTTTTTTAATGTGTTGCATTACATTTATAGATTTGCTTATGATGAGCAATCCTTGCATCCCTGGAAGCTCATGAGGTTAGCCATGTGTAGTCAAATTCAGTTTACAAGTATTTTACTGAGAATTTTTGAAGTAATTCTCATTAAGGAGATTGGCCTAGAAATCTTTGTGTGTGTCCTTGTCTGCTTTTGTTATTATTCTACTACTTGTTTTGTAAAATGAGTTTTGGTAGCATTCCCTCTCTTTCATATTTTGCAGAATAGTTTGGACATTTTATTAATTGGGTTTTATGTCTTTCTTTTGCTTAATTTGAGTAAGGGCTTGTCAGTCTCATTTGTCTTTTCGAAAAGTCAGTTTTATGCTGATTCTTTGTGTTGTTCATTTCTATTTCATTAGCTAATCCATTCTAGATTTTTTTAATTTACTTGAAAACATGTTTTCAAAATATGCTATAATGATCCTCTGGATTTCATTGGTATCTGTTCTAATGTTTCTTTTTATGAATTTAATTTTATTAATTGGGTTTTATGTCTTTCTTTTGCTTAATTTGAGTAAGGGCTTGTCAGTCTCATTTGTCTTTTCGAAAAGTCAGTTTTATGCTGATTCTTTGTGTTGTTCATTTCTATTTCATTAGCTTTTACTGTTGTTTATTATTTCTTTCTTTTTAAATATTTTGTTATTTTTATTTTATGCATATGAGTGTAATGCCCGCATGTAGGTAGGTATACCCTTTATGTGCAATGCCCACGGAGGTCAGAAGAAGGCATCAGAGCCCCTGGAACTGGAATTACAGATGGTTGTTAGCCACTATGTGGATGGTAGGAACTGGGTCCTCAGCAGGAGTAGTCTGTGCTCTCCAGCCCCTTATTATTTATTTCTCTATTATTGGCCTGTTCTTATTTTTCTAAGCCCTTGAGGGGCATCAGTAAGTTACTTGATATTTCTCTGACTTTAAAATGTAGACATTTATAGTTATAAATTTCTTAGAAGAACTTTCAGTGCATTCCACAGGTTGGGGTACTTTCTTTTTCATTAATTTACAGGAAAATTTAAATCTCCCTCCCGATTTCACTGTTGACTCATGTAGCATAGGACTGTCCTTCAGCTGGCAATCTATGGACAGATGCCTTCTTCCCAAGTTTGATTGCATTTGCTTGCCTAGGATCATCACAAACTTGACTGTTGACACTTTGCAAGAAAGGAGGGGAGGAGCCATACCTCCCAACCACCCAGTTGGTCCACTTAGAGGGACTAAGAGAATACAAGCAGAGGAAGCCATAGGGAGGCCTTCACGCCGTTTTTGTAAGGCTGCTGGGAAGCCACAGTCCATGCCTTATCTTAGGTGGGGAGTACTCTCTCCTGTAAGCAACCCCTCACCCATTGCTCTTAAGTAAGCCTAATAAACTCACTGGTTTTTCAAACTGCAGTTTGGTGAAATCATTCCTCACTTTGCCATAAGGACCAAGGGAGAAGAGTGCTGGACTATTTTGCTCCTCCCAGAAGGAATTTTAGCAACAACTCATTCACCATTAAATGGTGTGTTGTCTAACTTCCATGAGTTTGTGTATATTCTGTATTTTCTGATATTTTTGGTTTCTTTTATTCCACTGTGATCAAATAAAATACAGGAAATTATTTCAGTTTTCTTATATTAAGATTTACTCTGTGTCTTAAACAATGGTACTGTTTTAGAGAAAGTTCAATGGGCTACTGAGAAGAATGTATGTTCTGCAATGTTTGGGTGGAATATTCTACAGATGTCTGTTAGGTCCATTTGGTCTACAATGCTATTTAACTTTGATGTTTTTTTGTTGACTCTCTGGATGGCCTGTTTATTGGTGAGAGTGGGGGTACTGAAATTACAATTATTGTGTTGAAGTTAATTTGTGCTTTTACATAGTAGTGTTTGTTATATAAAATTAGGTACACCAATATTTGGTGTCTACATTGTAATACTACTTGATGGATTGTTCCTATAATCAATATGAAGTGAACTTCTAATCTCTTCTAATATTTGTTTGAAGTCTCTTTTGTCAAATATTAGTAAGCTACACTTGCTTACTTTCTAGTTCCATTTTTTGAAATACCTTTTGCCAGTCTTTCACTTCGAGTACATCTCTTGCATATGACAAATAGTTGGCTCCTGTCTTTTCATCCAATCTGTTAGTCTTTGTCTCTTGATTGGGAAATTAAGACTATTAATGTTGAATTGTTTTTTTACAGGTGCATATTAATTCCTGCCAGTTTTATATGTTTGATACTTTGCCATTTCTCATTTGCTTAGTTACTGTTCTAGAGTAGCTTATTCCATCTAGTGGCCTCTTAGATAAACTGAATATCTCACAGGCAGATACTGATGGCACATCTGATAAACCAGTAAGCCAAAGCCCCTTAATGTGATTAAGCCAGACCACATACTTGTACTGTCTCCTTGGAAAGGTTGTACCTCCTTTCAAAAAGCCTTTCAAGGGGTTGGACAGATGGCTCAGCAATTAAAAGCACTAGCTGTTTTTTGCAGGAGGCTGGGGTTCGAATCCCAGCACTCACATGGTGGCTAACAACTCCCCAATGCCAGGGGATCTGATGCTCTCTTCTGGTCCCCACAGGGACAGCATGACATGAGTGTACTTACATACATGCAGGCATAACACTCATACACACAAAATAAAAATAAATTTTAAAAAATTCAAAGAGTCTTTCAAATCTCCCCTTTCTCTAATGACCAACAGTGGGTATTGGTAGATCCCTAAAAGTTTACTTATACTGTAATGCCAGGGGATCTGATGCTCTCTTCTGGTCCCCACAGGGACTGCATGACATGAGTGTACTTACATACATGCAGGCATAACACTCATACACACAAAATAAAAATAAATTTTAAAAAATTCAAAGAGTCTTTCAAATCTCCCCTTTCTCTAATGACCAACAGTGGGTATTGGTAGATCCCTAAAAGTTTACTTATACTGTGAAAATAAAAACGTTTGGGACTCCCACACCAAATGCTTCAATTCTTCTTTGCAATGGTCTTGATTTCTAGGTACTTTTTTCCTCATTTAAAATGACTTACCCCTTTTCGACTTAGACATCACAATTCAGGGGCCTTAACTCCTCAGGGGTCTTCTTTCCATGTCTGGTGCCTATCATGGTCTTCCAGCTAACTGCACTGGCCCCGTACCACTGCCTTCATTGCTCTCAATAGCCAAGATGTCCCTAACAATCAACCCCTCCCAATACACTTTTTCTTTGTTTCCTGACCCAAGAAAGCTATTCAATTGATTTACCTTTTGGGTCAAAATAGCTATGGGACTAGACTACATCTCAGTGGTCTTTTACCGTCTTTCAGGACAAGATTAGTTAACTTTTACTCCATGGTACTCTTAAAACCACTGTGCCTTAAACATATACTACCTCCTGGCTCTGGGACAGAAATGCTGTGTCTATGCTAATTAATTGGGAATATTATGAGATGAAGCTAAAAGATTAAGGATAATTGAGTTGGGAGAGAACCTCTGAGGTTTGGCTTCTATGGAAAGGCACGTGGAGTTGGTTTTCCTAGTAATTACCTGTCCAGGGTCCACTCATCTCCATAATTCTCTCTCAGACCTGATTGGTATCTTCCAGAACATGGGCCATTAAGCTCCAGATGGTATTGTCTAGGGATATCAACCATTGCCATCAACATTTTCAACTGCCTCCCACCACAGAGGACTTATTGACCTCTAAACGACATTATATTCAAACCTTCAGCCTCTTATAATAATCACCTCTTCTCTCCAAAAGCATTTTATACATTATAGCACTGAAAACCTGTGACAGATCAGCATCAACCAGAGCCAATACTGCTTCTCAGCCCTGACACACTTGAGAAGAATAAAAACCCTTCATCTCTTCTTAGTGATTTGATCTGTCTGTCCCGTCGTGTCCCCCCCCCCCCCCATCCTGACTGCTTTTGCTTGGCCTTAGTGACTTGTGATGCCTGACACAGACCTTTAGAACCTAATTCTTAGGAACCCATGAAGTCTCACCTGAACTACTCAGTCTCAGGAAAGGCAAATAAATGCTGCTGAAATTTACCACTTTACAAGACAGTGAGATGTCTTCTTATATACCCAGATATATCATGAGCTAAGATCGACTAACTTCTCTTGTTATAAAAAGACCCCAATTGCCTCTGGAGGATCTTGAGGCTGATTCCCTCCTTCTGAGAACTCACCTGTGGTTTACATTTTTTTTACAGTGCATTTTCTCTATCACAATTTTATACGAAATATGTATGGTCTGGTAAATTAGTTTTACCTCTCCCTCCCCACCCTTGAACTTATTGTCCTGGGTGGGGCCGGACTCCTTCCTCACCATGTATTTCATGTTGGCTGCAGGGGGGTTCACCTTGCCTCTCCATTCATTGTGATGGCTGACGCACTCTTCAATAAAGCGGGGGTCTTTGATAGAGGGCACCTTGGGAAGTTCGCTGGCTACCTTGGCAGGTTTGCTGGCTATCAAACATAGACCTAAGGCCCATAAACCACTGAATTTCTTTTTCAGGGCCATGTAAAAAGTGGCCTGAGTGCATCAGCCTATAATCGCTGTGACAACCCGGTTTCCGTGGCCCAGGGATCACACTCTGCACTGGTCGGCTTTCTGTGCGCTGCGCAGCAGACTGGGTCAGGTAGTGTTGCCATGGGGATGAACCGCAGCAGGTTTGGAGCAACCAAAACCTAGGCTCTACGGAAAGCCTCAGGCGCCCTCTGGCGTAGAGTTCAAACTGCTTCCTGCAGATCCAATCTGGAATCACTGTGGATGGTGCCTGGACTGTGAAATAATGAAGTGTTAATGGTGCCGACAATGGGCCAGGCTTGTGCAAATAAAATGCTAGGAGTTTCATAGACTTTACTTCTTGTTTAGCTTTTTTTATATTTATTTATTTATTTATTTATATTTTATGTGTATGTATTTTTATTTTATTTATATGTAGGTAAGTGCACCCGTATCGTGCAAAGTCCCCTGAGGACAGAAGAGGCTGTTGGATCTCCTGGAACTGGAGTTACTGACACTTGTTAGCTGCCATGTGGGTGCTGGGATTCGAATCTGGGTCTTCTGCAAGAACAGCCAGTATTCTTAAGAGCCGAGCCATCCTCTCCAGCCCCTAGCTTTTTTATACTTTTAAATAAGTTGAAACATCCTTGTGTGCCTTTCTTCAGAGACTGAGAACACAGTAAGAATAAGCAGCTTGTAAACAGTGACAGACTGCAAACTCAAATCATTCCCTTGTCAAACATTTAGTAATTGGCTTCTATTTTGTCCTGGAAAGTAACTACCTAGGCATGTGGAAAAACAGTTTCTCTTGACCTATTTTGATAATTTGGAACAGACCTGCTGTTTGGTGAGTAGTAGATTCCAGATCATTCATATTCTAAAGACTAGGATGATGAAAGTACATTTGCTTGCTTATGTAGCTGAAAATGTAGTAAAAGTCAGCTGCATTTGGCTTAGTATGTAAATCCATTTTATCAATTATTGTTTCTCAGTAACAAACCTTGCGCTTCATGGTCCCTTTGCAAGTGTTCCTCTCAAGGAAGACTTTCCTGATCATCTGAAATTTCCGACCTGAAGGTGCCCATTTTTCTTCACTGAATCAATTTCTGCTTGAATTTATGTAGCCTTTGTCTATGACATCTATCAGATGCAGCAGTTCTTGTGTAAACAGTGGCTTTGTTTTGTTCACTGCTTTACTCTAGCGCCTACAACTGGAACTGAATCTTTAGGCCTCTCATAAAAGTTTGTTGAAATAATAAAGAAATGAGTGCTTTTTTATAATGGTGTGTTTTCACCTTCTTGACATTTGAAATTCTGTAGTATTTGTCATATGTATATGCAAGGGGCTTAACATTTTTGATCCTATCAATAATTTAAAAGGCAATGAGAGTGTGGGTGGGAAGACTGTTCTAGACAAATGAAGTCTTACCTTATACCCCAAAGTTAATCTTCTATTTTGAGATTATTTAAAACTCTCAGCTTGTTTAGAGTGTAAACAATTTACTAGGTCTTGGACTCCTCCTGTAATGTAAACACATAGCTTTAATCCCTCATGACCTTTCCTTCCCCTTGATCAAGAATAATGTGTGTATGTGTGTGTATGTGTGTGCGTGAGTGCATGTGTGTGTGTATGTGTGTGTGTATTATGAAATTATCATACACTGAAAGCGAGAATATTTGTTGGAAGCGATGAATACTCTCATTTCCATTTATGTCGTAAACAGAAGATGGGATTAGATTGATATTACCTATCTGTGGATAAGTGTGCTGTTCTGGGTTAGTAGGGGTCAGACAGGAAAATGCTTTACAAGACAGGTTCTTCATTCCTTCCTCATATCATGCTAGATGTACTACTTCAATAAAGATAGAGCAAAGCCATTGAGAACAGTTTTCAGAGAACAGTTCAGAGAGAAATCTGAAGTAACAAGTTCTCAATACTTACTCTTGATTTTAATGGATGATGGATGCTAATAGTCATGTTTTTGTTCAGTCATCACTGTAATGTGGCATTGCATGGTTGTAAGATAGGCTTATGTGTTTTACTTTTTCTAATCTTTCGTATTTTAGCAGATAGTATGTGTTCAATGGATGTGGACAACATGGATGACTGAATGAAAAAATTAAAGATTTAAAGTAAAGAATGAGTTTCAAATGAAAATTTATTGGGGGGTGGGGAGGTGGTTCAGTGGGTAAGAGTACTTGCTCTGCAAGTAGGAGGACATGAGTTTGAAACCCCAGGACCTAAGTAGTGAGTCAGGCAACTATGTGTGCCTGTAATCCCAGCACTAGAGCGCAGAGACAGTAAATCCCAAGAGCTCCCTCGCTAGTCAGCCTAGCTAAAACAGCAGTCTTCAGGTTCAGTGAGAGACTGTCTCAAGGCAATAAGGTGGATTTAGAGGAAGACACTATGATCTCCATTCTCTGCGTATTTGCACATGAGTGAGCATACCTGCACACTCATGACCATGTGGCACACATACACATCACACAAAATGAAAATTTATTATCAGTATTACTTGAATTGTTTTGTGGCATTGAGAATGAATCCAAGGCCACTTGCTTGTTATGCAAATTATTTTTATCTGCAAAATTATACAGATTAACATATGCATATGCTAATTTAGTTTAATTTTGTGTAGAGACGGCAACTGGATGTACCAATAATAGTATTTTTAGAAATAATGAATTATTTGAAAATTGA